GCATTTAGAATTACTATGTTTACTACTTAAGAACAGCTGATGAGAGGGGTGTTATGTAAACAAACATGTGTAATGATACTATATCTTGAGCTAATATATAATTTTTATGGTCACTTTCGGTTTCAACACGTGGAAATACAATCATCTAATTTCAACCCCGAAACAAAGCATTTGTCAGGAACTTCAAAAATATGTGTCACAAGAACACCCTTTCCATTTAATTGTTTTCCCCAGATAGCGCCCAGCCCCCGTCTTGAAAGTTTCATTTGATAATTTCAATACAAAATAAAGTATTCATGCATTAATTTCATTATCCCAAATTTCAATTTTTTGAGTTGAACCGTTCAAAAAAACGGGGAAGGAAATTAAAGAAATCCACTGCACTCGTGCTGAGCCGGGGCTGGTTACTAGTATTCCATACATCTCAAACAGTGATATACAAAACTGAAATACCAAAAGAGTTTCATTTATTCTCGTAAAGCCTAAAACTTCAATCATATACTGGTGAGCAATGCCTTCAAAATCAGGTGTAGAGCAGGCAATATTGACCAAATAAGCCCAGCCCAGTAATAGGTAGCAGAAAGAGTTATTGTGACCTGCCGTCGATACATCTAGTTTTTCTGTGGCGGTGGGCTAATTGCCTAATATAAGGACTCTTACAATGTCGCTCCGCGCCAGCCGAACAAATTGCAGACATCTCGGAATGTTTGTCACGGCCAATTCGATTACTTTATCTGTTTTATCTACAGTTGCGGAACCTAAACACGGTCTCCACATTTCACTTAGAGATAATGATATGGATTTTGTCTGTGGTTTGAGACTTTCCGACTATTAGTTGGGATTTTTAGGCTACACCTGATGCATCCGGGTTGTACAAAAACTCTTATAAAACGTTTCTTTTCGCTCACTTTCCCAGCTACAATTCATATTTGGAGTGAGATCAAAAAGACAGTTGAATGTGAATAAGTGCCGAGTCATTTTGGGCGGGGAATGATTTTCAGAAAGTCTTTTAATTAGTACTGCTGAAAATTGAGTATCACTCAAGGCCATGCCCAGATTTTTGTTTCGGGAGGGGGTCTCAATAAAAAAGACCTGCTAATTCAAATTTAATTAAGTACCATACATCCCTCCACTGAAAAAACTGTACTAAAATATTGGTTTTTGAAACTAAAAAACCTCAAATTTCCATTTCGGTGAATTCACAATACAAAATCAAGCCTTCTAGACTTTTTATGGGTACATTCTATCATAATCATCATCAGTTGGAATGATGGCATCTCCGTGAATTGTCATTAGGGCCAACCCGGTTATCCTCTCTTGCCCACAGGAATTCCGTAGGTAGGTTTTTAGGCGCCTAAGTGTGGAAAACGACCTTTACGGGGTGGTAACTGGTAAAGTCGACAAAATGTTCAACAACTTATAAATGTTGGGGCACAATGGCCTGTTGTACCCTCCGGCAGCTTCAATGACGCAAGAAGGCTTGTCCGAAGGGCTTCTGCCCTTTGGACCGGCTATAGTTGAAATTCGCCTTGTACTCCTCGTCTAGTTCCGCCAGGTCCTCGTACATCACTAGGTCCTCTCTTGGGAATGCCGTTTCCTTCTCGGTACTGTTGGTATAACAGTGTACAAAGCAGCAATCACTTTCTTCTGGTCAATCAATCGCGATGCTTCTGTACTGATGTCAACCGTGGAAGCTTAATCTCTTCATTGGCATCGGCCAATAAATCCTTTGCTTCTGTAAATGAATTTGAATTTTTTTTTTCAATATCGGAGATCGAATATCTTCAAAGTGCGATATTACGTTCTCAATATGGTCGACAGCTGTTATTAAGTCACAAAGAGGTGAATGCAAGACTTTATATACTGTTAATGTTGCTGCAAATACCTTCGCTAAAATACAGAGTTATATCACCAATTCGCTGGCAAAAGCAGATCTCGGAAAAGAAGAAGCTTTGGTTGAGGTCTCCATATCCGGATCTGAGCTGAATCGTTTCAAAATCTCAATAATAGATTTAAAAATTTGTTTAAATTTTAATAAGCCGTTGTGTTTTTCCACCCACCGCGTTTTACATTGGTGTGGCCTTAATGCGTGCCTGAAGGAAGTTTGTTTGCTTTGGAGATACTCTCAAATTTCCGATTGCTTTCACAGTTTCTATACAATTTCTTACAGGAGGTATACTACAAAAATGACAAAGGGCCAAGTTTAAAGAATGAGAGTTGCAATGGACAAACAGAGCTCGGAGATATGCTTTCCGTATTGTTGCTTAAACGCCATTGAAAGCGCCTTTCATCACAGCTGCACCATCATACCCCTGTCCCACCATATTGTTGTAGTCAATGCCAAAATTTTTCAGGAACGCTATGATCGTGACAGGCAATGGTTGTGCATTTGTATTATCGACCTTTACAAATCCGAGAAAACCTTCTTTCACCACATAACAAGTTTCGATCTTTTTTGTGTATCTTACAAATAGTGAAAGTTGTTCGTGTCCCGAAATATCAGCAATCCCGTCTACTGAAACATCTTCGATTCATTTAAACATTTTATAATTCCCTTCTGAAATTTTTTCCCACACACTGATATCAGATAATTTTGGAGCAGTTTTTTCGCTGCGTTTGAGCAATTTTGTATCACCACATTTCATTCCCATTCTTAAGATGGCTCTGAAATTACTGTCTTTTGTGTTTGTCTCCTCATCAGTCACAGAAACAGGGCCAGAATCGTTTGTTCCTCTCATAGCAAGTTTTTGACGCCCACTTATAGTTTCCACAATTGATTGTTTCATCCCTGAGTTCGTGATTTGTTATTGGTTCTGCATAGTTTTCAAAAAGTTGGAGCTTCGTAATGGTTTTGCTTCGATTGATGGGATTCACTATTTCAAGTGGCTATATGCATGCCTATTTGACACCTTGAATCAGTTACTAATTTGTAGAAACAGAATTGTCTGAAGTTGATATCCTCTTTCTTCAGAGCATTTTTCATCCCCTAACAGTATTACTTCTTAAATATGTATTTCAGATGACTTCACCATAAAAGTTCGTGTAGAGTCTTTCATGAGGCGCTTTCTATTTTTGAATTCAAATAAAACAAAGTGTGTGAGATAACACCGAATTTTTTTATTCGTTTGGAAGACCTGTTGATTCCATTATGTGTGGAATATAACATCGTCCAAATGTTCGTCGCGGCTTCTCTGAGTGAAACGCATCCGAAACGCCCAATTTTCCATGACTCTGGCGCATGAATCAGGCTGAATTTGACCGGTGGCATGGGTTATGTTGGCTTTGAAGGCAGCTGTGGTTTATGACTTGATCGCATACACATGTGACTTAAGAAAACACACCAAGAAAAAATCTAGCGAGGTGGAATCGCACGATCTCGGTGGCCAGTTCACATCATGCCCAAGTAAGATGACCATGCCCAAGTTGAGAAAAATTGATACTCTACAATTGGGTATACAGAATAAATGAGCTGTTTCCAATAAAAGCAGAAACAAATGCCAAAATTCCAAGATTTTTCGACCATCGTTACCAAAAAAGAGTGAATTCCAAAGGTCATATTATTATATTTATCATAAAACCTATTCTTGTACACGATCATTACAAAGTACTTAGTGATACTTTGGTTTTTTTGACGAGTGTATTCTATTTAAAATTCATTCAAGTATAGTTCAAGTTAACGATGAAGCTTCTGATAATTCCTCTTCCATATTCTCTGTTTCACTATTACTGGAAAATTATTTTTACGCCTGATGCTTTCTTTCAATTTTCCCCAAATCAACTCGATGGGATTGAAAACACAAAAATAAGGATGAAGTTTAGCTCTATTACCTTCTTATCAAATTCAAGAAAATTATTTTTACGCCTGATGCTGTGTTTCAATTTTCCCCACATCAACTCGATGGGATTGAAAACACAAAAATAGGGGTGACGTCTCAGTATGGTGTGTCCATACTTTTCAGCATATACTTTTTCAAATGTATTTGTTATACAAATTGTTATTCATTAAAAAACTTTGAATTTCATCTATTCTCGAATTTTAATTCGCTACTTTAATGAGCTGTCGCGAATGATAGGAGGCGTTGTCAAGAACTACTACACTATTCACATCCAAATTTTGAATCGAAAATATTAGCTTCCATGTTCTTATGATAGTCAACATTGCAGTCCTCAAGTTTTTCTCCACATAATTTCAAAGAATTCGGAACCCATCCTTTACTTCCTCCGCAATGCACAATGATTAGTCGCGATCCTTTGTTTGCATGTATGTTAGGCGTACACATTTTCGAACCATCAGTCCACCCTTTCGTAACTGTGTCGTGATTGTAATACCAAGATTCGTCCAAAAATAAAATGTGCCATTGTTCTTGTCGATATTTAGTTATTTGTTCTAAGTATTTGTTACGTAATTCCACTATTCTTCTGCTTTCCATAACTGCTTAACGTTTGTTTATTATTTTAAATATAAATCCTAGTTTCTTTATCCAATTCTGAACAGTTTTGTCATAGCAGCTCACGTTACGGCCGTTATGATTTCAGTTGTAGGAATCTCATTGCTTTTGTAACAGTCGTATATTGTTTTTTTCGCTGATGTTATTAGATGAACATCTGAAGGTTTTGGTAACCCGCATCAAATTGCGTCTTGCGTTCATAAGGTTTGTTTTTGACTATTTTACGTACAGTTGAGAAAGGAATTTCGGTCAAATCTGATGTTGCTTGTAATAGTTTTTTTTTCATCGAAACCAAACTTGAGATGTAGATTCTTATATATATTGAAACATATTCTCTGTGTTTCAATATTCAAATGCATCCGAATCTTATTTACTAATATCTCTTTTTCGCATTGTTCACCATCGCTACTGAAATCACTACTGCGTTGTTATTTGTAGTACTTGTCCAAGGACGCCACATCTTGAACAGAAAAAAATATATATATATAATCTTGAACCCTTTCACCCTCAGGGTGTCGGGTTATCATTTTATTGTTGCTTTATGAACTTTTTCCATTCCTTTCTATCTCTAATCTCTAGTCAGTGTCTTTACTTCGTTCCGTTGTTTATTTCTTCCTTGTAGAATCTATCCTATCATGTCGTTCCAGGTATTTTCAGGTCTTCCTCTTCTTCTCTTGTTTTGTGTTTTCGCTTCATAGATTTGTTTCACAGGTCTATTGTTTGGCATTCTCTGTATGTGTCCCCACCATCCTAATTGTTTTTGTTCTATAAATGAAATAATGTCTTCTATGTCTAGTTCTTCTTTTATTCGTGTATTTCTTATCTTATCTCTCCTTGTCACTCCTATGATTCTCCTCAGGTATTTCATTTCTGTTGCTTGTATTCTACTTTTGATTTTTTTGTTAATATCCAAGATTCACATCCATATGTTAATACTGGCCTATATATTGTTTTGAATATTTGTAGTTTTGTCTGTCTTGAAATTTCTCTTTTATTCATGAAGTTCATATTCATTGTATAGTACAATTTTATGGTTTTCTCGATTCTGTTGTTAATTTCTGCTTCTTGTCTTCCTTTTTCGTGTATTGTTACGCCTAGATATTTGAAATCTTTTACTTGTTCTATTTTTTCATCATCTATCATTATATTTATTTCTTCTCCCCCTATGGTTATCACCTTGGTTTTATCTTTGTTTATTCTCATTTGTTTTCTCTTCAGTGTTTCATTCCATATTTTTATATTATGTTGTAATCGTTCTTCATTTTCAGCTATCAGTATTATGTCATCGCCAAATGCTCCCTCAGCTATCTCTACTCTTTGCATATTTTTGTATCCAATGCACATTTTTTTGCTATTTCTATCACATTCCTTGATGATGTCGTCCATGAAAATGTTAAAAAGCATTGGGCTCAATGATCCGCCTTGTCTCAAACCCTCTTTTGTTTTGAAACCTTCTGATTTCATGCTGTTCTTGATAACATGATTTCTATTATTTCTACATAAGTTTTTAATCATATTTATGGTTCTTTCATCGATATTTCTATTTTTCAGACTCTCCCATAATTCTGTTCTTGGTACCTCGTCGAAAGCTTTTTCTAGGTCTATGAATGCCAAATATATATTTTGGTTTTCTGATCTTCTCTTTTCTATTATTCGTTTTATTGTGAAGATGTGGTCTTGTGTGCTTCTTCCGGGCCTGAACCCACTTTGTGGTTCTGAGAGTTGTGACTCTATTTTATTCCCGAGTTTGTTGTTAATTATTCTTTCTATTATTTTTGTTATGGTATTCAGTAGCGTAATCCCTCTATAATTATTGCAATTTTTGTAGTCTCCTTTTTTATGTATCGGTGTTATTAGAACTGTTCCCCATTCCTCTAATATAGTTTCTTTTTTCCATGCCTTATTGATTATTTCTAGTAGGCTCTTTCTTCCAGTTTCTCCTAAGTTTTTCATCATTTCTGATGTTATTTTGTCCTCTCCTGATGCTTTCCCATTCTTCAATATTTTAATTACTTCATCTAATTCTTGCATTTCTATCAATGGTTCGCTTTCGTTTAACTGGTTCCTTTCTGTTGTTTCTATTGATCCTTCTTCATTTCCTTGACCTAGTAGTGTCTCGAAACATTCTTTCCATCTCTTCATTATATCTATTTCGTTTGTAATTATTTCACCTTTTGAATTCTTGATTTGTACGTCTTTTACGGGTTTATCTGATCTCATGGATTTTAGTTTTTGGTTACTTTTACTGTCTTCCTCTAGTTTATTACCGAATTCAATTCATGACATTTCTTTTGCTTTATTAACTAATGTTTTTAACTTGTTTTCTTCGGTTTTAATATATTTCATACTGTTCTGTTGTATTATTGTTCAAGTATTTCTTCCATTGTATTTTTTTTTCTTTTATAGCCTCCTTTATGTCATCGTTCCACCATGATGTCTGTTTTCTATTATTATTATTTGTTTTGTAGGTGCCACATGTACTGATAGCTGTTTCTATGATAACATTTTTAGAAATGTTCCACGCTTCTTGTAGTTCTGCTTTCTTAACGACGTTGTATTTGTTTTCAAGTTTTTCGTAGGTAATATCTTTATATCTAGTAGCTACAGTTGTGTCTCTCATTTTATATGATCTGATCGTGATGTGTTCACTTTTCTTAGTCACCGTTTCTTGTTTTATGTCAATAGGAAATGATCACTGTATATTTCTGCTCCCCTTCAAACTCTAACATCTAGAACATTGTTCCTATTTTCTTTCTATACCAGAATGTAATCAATTATTGATTTTTCCCTCTGCTTTCTTGTACTCTTGTGAATTTATGTATATTTTTGTGTTGGTAAAATGTATTTGTAATGATCAGGTTTTGTAGTTTACAGTATTGAAGCATTCTCTTTCCATTGTCATTTCTGGTTTGTTCTCCATATTTTCCTAGCATTGTTTTATATATATGGTCCTGTTTTCCCACTCTGCTATTGAAATCTCCCATAACTATTATTGTTCCTTTTGCATTTTCGGTTATTTCTGTCAATTTTTCCCAAAATTTTTCTTTTTCTTCTATTCTTTCATTTTCATCTGGTCCGTATATTGCTATTATTGTACTCATTTAAGTATTTATAACTGCACCAATATCGAATTTCAACACTCAAAACGCGATCAGTTCCTGAACTGAACACGACAGCGATATCCATCCCCGCATTCCCGATTTCTATTCGTCACCGTAACATGACTTCAGATTTAATTTTATGACTCTTCACCCAATCATAAAACTCTGTTAGTAAAACGAACCGCCAAGTCTACAGTGCACGTGGACAAGTTCGCTGCCGATTCATTTGTATGTATAGATTTTTTGGCATTTGAGATTTAAGAGTGCACAATATCTATTACTTCGATGATCATTACAAAGTATCTGGTGAACCTTTGTTTGTTTTGAGGAGTGTATCATATTTTGACTTCAAATAAGTAATATACTTGATTTGATACTTCTACTGAAGAGTTAAGGCATGGAATGATTGAATAAAATCCAAAACGTAAGTAAAAGAGTTTGAGTTCTTTAGTTTCTACGAAAAAAGAAAATTTGATAAACTGACTCGGACGAATTTTTTTTAATATCCAGTTTTCATCGATTCCTCAACTCACCTAGTAAATACATCGGGGTAGTGCGTGCGTGAGAATGCTTTTTCCAATTCCTCCAGCTGATAGCTGGTGAACGTCGTTCTATATCTCCGTTGTTTTCTCTTCGGAGCGAATTCATCCGGCTCGGGTTCACTACCGTCACTTTGCTCCTGACCAGGTGGTCTGGGTTCTACTCCAGCATTTGGTATGATCTCTTCAGAAACTCCCATAATGTCAGGGTTGTTATCGGAGGAAATAGATTCTGAAAAAGAAATCAGTGTTACAGAACCAAGTTCCATTATCCACAATGAGTTATCAAATGCGACACCAACTCAAGTTTTGAAACTTAATATTAATAAATTAATATTAGAAAAAAATGGATAACATAAGGAGTATTAACATTCATATCACAAAAAAATTATTTAAGCAAACGTTCACGGGATAATCCTTACGATGTACAAATTGAAAGACTTTAAAATGATTGTAAAATGATTGTAAATATGAACTAAGAAACTTCATCAAAGCAGCAAAAAATAGTTTTTTCAAAATGAAATAAAGAGAAATCAAAATAAGTCCAAAGCTCTGTGGGAATGTGTAGATGAAGTCTGTAACAGAAAGAGACCACAAAGACATATTAATGAAACTGATGAAAATGTTGAGAGGTGAAGAAATACTTTTTCAATTTTTTTTCACATATTCAATGTCCAAAAAGTTGTCATTTTGATATCGAAGATTTCTTTCAAAATTAAAATTTCCAAATTGGATATCCTCACGTAGCACATGTATGCTGTTTCATCCGTTGTTATGTTTTATATGTATATTTATTATGTCCTTTTTTATATTGCAGCCCTCGATAAAGCTAATAAACATTAGCGAAAGCTCGGGCAGCTAAAAAGAGTAATATTTTATTCTAAACCGACCGAATCCCTGAAAAACCACTCTTCTATATATATACATATCGAGTGGTCCAACGAAAAGTATGCACCTTGCTTTTCTCCTTTTTTTGTAACTTAACGCAAAAATGTTCGCACAGGTCACTTTTGCTTTTGAGGGGGACATATTTTAGATCAATTTTTCTATCTGCCCTTCAACTCCCTAGCGATGGTGAGTAACAACCCTAAAATTTCAATTGGAAAGTGGGATCGAGTGATATATCATTTGAAAGGGCACAAAATTCTCTTTTCAATGATACCTAATTTGTTGTATTTACTTGAATAGTTATAAAAAAAGCAAGAACATTTACTCGATATTTTTGGTGTTAATGAAAATGCGGAAAAAACGGCATTTTTATCACTACTACATTCCTCAATTTCTCTCGTGCGTTTTTTGGTTCAAATAACAACAGCAGGTGTACAAAAAGAATTTAGGCGAACGTTCATTGATTCAGTTCGGTTGCTTTTGAAATTTTTTCAACTTTACTGTAGAAATGGTTTATTCCATTCCTGAACGAGTTGAAATTGTTAAACTTTATTATCAATATAATAGTTATGCTAGACTTACTGCTCGCCTCTTTAATAACAGTCATGTTGGAAAAAATGTGAATGATTCGTACGTTGTCAAGTTAATCCAAAAGTTTGTCGATACTTTGAGTGAAATACAACAAATTAGGTATCATTGGAAAGATAATTTTGTGCCCTTTCAAATTATATATCACTCGACCCCACTTTCCATTTAAAATTTCAGGGTTGTTACTCACTCTCGCTAGGGGGTTGAAGGCACAGGTAGAACAATACATCTAAAATGTGTCCCCCTCAAAAGCAAAATTGACCTGCCCGAGCATTTTTGCGAGAAAAGCAAGGTGCATGAAATAAATAGATAAGTACTTTTTCATCATTCCCATATTGATTTCAATTCAAGAGCCACCGGTAGACAGCTGTTTCAGCCTATTGGGCATCGTCAGTACCGGGCAGGCGGTCCTCGATTGAAGACAAAATGAGAAAAAACCAAGAAAGTACTTGATAAAAATAGCTGCGTAAACGCAA